ATAGTGATCGGGATACAAAAAAGCAAATGTATTCTCTCCTTGCCCTTAAAAAAAAAAAAACCACTAAAATGCAAAAATACAGACCTTGATTATTAAGCACCGGATAAATCAGTTTGTACTGCCCAGCCAGTGTAGTGGTTAGTGACCATTACTGCCCTAGGGATGACCCGGGTTCGAATCCTGGAGAAGGCACGGTTTAACTCTCCGTCCCTTCCTAAGAAGCAATGGCGATCACCTGTTAGGGGCTCCCATAATGAAATGGCCACCACTTCCGTCCCTTGTAGTGGCGCAAGGCTAATGGCTATTAAATGAAGCACCCGGCCATTAAAAAAATAAGATTGAACGTTATCCAAATACCATAAATGACTATGAACTCATTAATATCTCTTTATATGACTATGTTAGCTTAACAGAAGGAAGAAAGCTCTCTCCACTTAGTCTGTTGCTTTAGAAATAAGCCTTGACCCATTTTCCATATGGGTGTCTTAAAGATGACTGATAAATTCTTTTCCCCTCAGCCAACAGTCCCCAAAAACAAAATAACAATAAAGTAACCCTTGGTTCGCCCCTATTTGAAATGTATTGAAATGTATTAGCCTTGTTGCTATAGCGACCGCCACTCACCAGACACTGTGGCGGGACCTATTCTTCTCCTAGACAGACAGTATACGCCACCAGCGGCGGTGTGGTAAAGTCTCTGAACACTGATGTTCCAACCTGGGTTCGATTAAAGGCAAACGGGCCGGTTGCATGGCCATTTTTATGGTGTTCCCCATGTGTAACGTGTATGCAAGCCAGTTTCCCTCCCCGAAGGCATTCCTCTCCTAGGCAACACAGACGTCTACGTCTGTGTCAGAATGAAAATGTCAGAAATAACAGTTACCTCAGCTGCCCAACCGATGTAGTGGTTAGCGTCGCTGACTGCCGTGCCGCAGTGACCGGGTTCGAATCCCGGAGAAGGCATGGATGTTTGTAAATGTATAGTGTCGGTGCGGCATGGCGACATTCTAAACATGAGGCGAGCCGAAAGTCCTCTCGTTTGGAAGGGGAGAGGGGTTGGAGATCCTCAGACCCCCACGGTGCTCTCCATCAAAAGTGCGGGCGGAAGTGAGCTAAATCGCACTGTCACTTGAATTGTGCTCAAGGCTGTTGCCAACGTTAGGCGTAATCTAGCGCTCCTTGCCACGGGGAATTTCTTTTCTCAGAGGGTCTACCCTCTAACCTTAAGCAGATCAGATAGCTCTAGTGGGCTTTGTCAACGTCAATTAAACTAAAGCAAACATTTATTGAAGTATATAACAACCCATAAAGCAAAATAAACAACACTAAATAGACTAAAAATGAGGGGTTATAAAAACACTTTTATAACCCCTTTATAACCTATTTAAAATTCATAAAACCTTTTTAAAATTCATACTTTTATAACCTATTTAAATACTTTTATAACCTATTTAAATACTTTTATAACCTATTTAAAATTCATAAAATGATTAATATATTAAAGGTAAATAAATAATTTAGCATACAGTTTAATGGAAAGTAGAGATTAAGTAATCGCCTTTACAAAATTCATCTATTGTTTTACATCACGATTAATAAAAGTGTACGTCACCCTTTGATAAATTTATAAAGTTAATCACCAATAATTTTGAAAAGGCAGTTTGATTTTTTCTTTATTTAATTACCCACTCTTTTATTATTCGTGTTATAAAAACGTAGATAAATTTTGTAAAAAAAATCATTTAACCTCTTGTTCCTATCATACTAAGCGATAAATTCTTTTTCTGTTTTCCTAGATTTAAGTAGCAGGTTAGTTCAGTTTTAGGTTTTAAATAAAATTAATTTTATCAAAAAATATGATCACGAGATATCATATTCTTAATTTTAGCCGAACAAGTCTATGCTATTAAAATCTGCGAGCGGCTGTCTGTTCGTTTCTTTGTTTGTGGCATTATCTCCTCCGAAAGGCGGAGAGTTGAGTTGTAAGAAAGCTAACCTCGGATTCCAAAATTTCGTGGAAAGCCATTTCGACTATTCTCATCTTAAGACTTTAATCAGCCGAGATATTAATTAAAAACTTTGAATATGCTAATATTCGTCCTCTTTTCTTCCGAGTGCCAAGAGACTTGCGCGTTGGAGATAAAAATGCTACATTTCGAAGTGTTGCTACTGCTCGCTTTCAAATCGTAGTATTTGTTAATAAAAAATTTACGTGTTTTAAAAAAATATGAAATAAAAATAGCATTGCCAAACATTAAACATGTTATTATATAAGGCCATATTCTAGCGTTGAAGAAAGCACGTGACTGCATGTGATGCCATTGTATGCCTAAAAGTTTTCGTTAATGACAGCATTTTAAATAAACAGCAGCGGATGGCAACTTCTTTGTTTCAGGTTAGCATAACTCACACGATATGTTAGTATTGTTTACTGATATTAAGAAATATTCCTATTAATTCTTTACTGATATTAAGAAAATGTTGTTATATTACATTAAATTTAAACCATGACGTCATACCTATTAACCTGAAGTGTCAAAGGTTTTTGTCTCCTGGTTTAGCAATAAAAAAATTATTTACGAATTAGTTGTTGCTTGGGAAGAATGAACTTAATTCATTCATATTTAAATGTTTTTATATATTTACTTTTCAGAAATGCATTGAAATTATAAATTCTGCTTCAGCTGCAGCCTACTCATCCGATATAAAATTAGTCTTTGTATGATCAATCCTGTTCAATATTTTCAACAATTTTCTGAAGTATGATTCTCTGCATTTGCTGCATTGATCTCATTTTTATGGTTGTTAAAAATCAAAAAACATTTTTTGTGCGTTTTAAAGTTTGCATTCCAAAAACGTGTATTTACTTGCAATAATAGTTAGCATTATAGAAATTTATTAACTTTTCAACATTTTAGAACTTATTTTCTTCGAAAGGTATTAAATTACTATTGCTTAGTCTTCCTGTTTTTTTAACGTATTGTGAGGAAAAATAAAACAAAAAGTGAAACAGAGGGCATTCTTTCTTTCTCAGCTTCCGTCTTTCGGTTTCTTTGATCTCTCAGAAGAGACTTCTTTCTTGTACTTTTGTTTCTGTGAAACTTCTTACGAAGATTCCAGCATTTTCTTCACGTTTGCTTTCCTTCTCGTCTCATTACTCCTTGTTTCTCTTCGTGACTTATATCCCACCTCCCTGATTTACGGGGAATATAAAGAGCAAAGGTTGCCTCTGTTTAAGAGTTGTTGAGGTTGCGAATTGTGGCGCTGTACATTGATTGAATTGCGTTCTGCTAGAACAGTAATGTATTCGGTTTCATTTGCAACGAGATGTTCGTTTCATTTGCGCTTTTGCTGAAAGTTTCATCAAAGGTTTTTAAGATTTTTATTTCCTTCTACGAAGCAGAGGAAGTATTGTAATGACGAAAACTTCCGGGTATCATATTTCAACGAAAATATACATTTTGATTGCTATCGAATGCAATTTGACGATGTTTTGTGTGACATCTCTAGAACAGAATAAAGGACTCTTTTTCGCCAAACGGAATAGAAAACTGATTTAAAATGGATTCAGAAGAGATTTTTTTCATGACGTCTGTACGTACGTATGTATCTCGCATAGCTCGAAACGCTTAGCCTTAGCACGTTGAAATTTTGTATATAGGACTGCTATAACATGTAGTTGTGCATCTCTCGTTTTTGTTGCAATTGGCTGCACCAAATGGTTGTAAGTATATATATAATATAGGATGAGACTAGGCTTAATAACGTAGAGGGTAGTGGCATTTTATAGCTTTTTAATAATGAAATAATAAACATGAGAATGATATGTACAGCATGAAAGGAAATAAGATGAAAATGAGATGAAAGGTTCAGTCCTTCATGAAAACAGAATAGCATCACGTCATCAAAGAGACAGCCACTGTCCTTAGTCGATGCTCCCTCGAGCCAAGCCGTTGGTTCACTCGTCTCAATTTCCTCACTCAGCTTGAAGAAGTGACTAGCTTATATTGCCGTTGCCAATTTGTTTGTATAAAAGGGCGGATGACCACACGTCCATTTCGCATTGCCAGGCGTCCTCTCCTTGGGAGAGGGGACACAAGAGGGAAAAAGCAAGCAGAAAAAGTGAGAAAAAAATCTATGTTCTGGTGGCGAATGATAACTTTGTGCACCACTGTTTCATCTGATCAACAAAGGTTGGCAAGGTAATGGGGGCCTTCATGGCACATCTTTAGCACCTTATAACAATCAGATGGAGGAACGTTTGTTGTCTCATAAAGACCGAAGAATCTCTTACGATGTTTAAGTCCAAGTCCAAATTTCATTTCAGGTTGTATTGGCATTTGAAGACAATTGTCTTCAAATTTGTATTTGTAGGCAGGTTTGCGACGTTTCTTATATTGTCTCATATTTTCTTGCTGTGAACGGAGGATGTTCCGTTGAGCATCAATGTGTAAAGCAGCTTTTTCAACATCTTGCTGTGTCTGCAATTTCATTTTCTTCGAAGGCCGGTTAAATTATCTTCATTTATACCTTCCAGGACCGTTTCTTGCGTTTTTTGGGCGTGAAGCGGCTAAAGAGTTTGGAACAATAATTTTTCTTCCAAGTATTTCAGCATTCTTTGTTGCCTCAAAAGCTTCAACTGCACCTTTTTCCTGTATATAACTGATGGTAGTATTTGGATGTACAGGTGATAAATTCAGAGTTATCTGAGATGCGTTTGAAAACGTTTAGCAATTTGAGAAATTGTAGTAGAAGCTGGAATGTCAGAGACAAGTAGTTTCCTTGGATTATTATCTCCTTTCTTCTTGCTCCTTTGTATCTTTTTTCGGCATAGAAATGTATAAATTATCCGAAGGGAAAGCTTTGATTCTGTAGTGATATCAGTAGGCCAAATTTCGAGATAGGGGATTCTAGTATCTGTTGGTTCATCAAGACGTTGGTCTTCTGTGAAACGAGAAGCGTTTCAATATTCGGAGATTTTTCCGTCGTTGGAGTTTTCTCTAGTTTGTCTTTTGGAGTTTCTGCACTTTTAGTCTTCTCTTTTGCTTGTTCAGCACATCCTTGTTCAAACTCAGTTGATTTTTCACAGCTTCTTTATTATTCTGCAAACTTTGTTCATCAGCGAAATCATCATCAGCATTAGCTTCATGACTTCCATCATCATCATCGTCGTTGTCAACACGATCATTTTCATCAATATCATCGTCATCTTCATCACCATAATCAACGTTATGAACATAATCTTCATCAACTTCTTCTTTATTAATTTAATGATTGCCATCATCACCAGCAGCATCATTAGCTTCATGATTGTCATCATCGTTATCGTGAATATCATGATCTTGATGCATGTCATCATCTGCGTCAACATCACCAATGTCATCTTCATCAACATCAACGTCATGAGCTTCATGATTGGTATTATCATCATCTTTGTCATCGTGAGCATCCGAATCCAAATTGTCATCATCCAAATCCAATTTCAAATCGTCATGGGCATCAGCATCATGTTCCTTAACTGTTTTCCTTCAAATGATTTTCATTTTCTTATATTCCTTGAAAATCTTTCATAGCAATGTTGTGGGGTTTGCGAGGAGTAACGATATGTTGAACTTCCTCGCAAATGTGAGAGTTCGAGATATGTTAAAGACCGGGTAGAAATGTTTGATCATCAGTAAAATTAGCAAAGTTAACAAAAATTTGATCGTCATTACTTTGCATAAATGAATACCGTCTTTATCAAATGTAAACTGAGTTTGTTGCAAAAATTCCAATAATGTCATCAAGAGGAATCAAGAGGTCTTTTACTACATGGATTTTAGCAGGTAAAATAGTGTTTTGAATTTGAATGTAGTCCTGAAAGAATCCAATGCTTTTTACTGTGTCTCGGCCAATTCCTGAAAATGTAATTCTGGTAGGATGCAATGAAAGGGAACCAATCTTGCTGTATGTTTGCTCATTAATAAGCGTTGCTTATGACCCATTGTCATAAAGAGCAGTTAGCGGGTTCCTTTAAGTTCAATATCAGTATGCATAAGATGTTTAGAAAACGTTTGAGCACAAGGTGCAATTACAGTACTATCAGATATAGAACATTTAGGGGCAGATTCCGCAGTAGAACTCCCAGAACGTTTGGGACAGTTGGCATGAACATGACCATAATGTTTGCTGCCATAACAAAATTTAACATTAGATTTGTTTAGACAATTGACGCTTTTATGCTCTTTTAAACCACAGGAATAGCACAGTGGTTGTGTATTTGATGTATGTTTATTATTAGTTTTAGCATTGGAAAGGGAATTAGGAAATTTCTTTTGAGTATTTTGCTTCAAATGTTTTGAATTGTTAGTTTTTCATAAATATTCAGTTTTCCTTTGAATGGATTTTACAGCCGTATTTATTAAAAACTATTTTGTTTTTTGATGAATCAGGAATACCATTTGTAACATACTGATTCAAAGAAGAATCATCCATAGAACCTTCGTGCGCGAGATCTCTCATAGCTAAGAAATATTCTTTTAAGTTTTCAAATGGTTTCGTACGACGAGATTCCATTATTTGATGCAATTGAGGGCTATTAATTTTGTCAGAAAATTCACTTAATAAATCGTGTTTTAATTGTTCTCAATCAGTAGACTAACTTTGCAATAAAAATTCGTCGTCATCGCTAACGTTAAACAGATCTGATTTTAATAATGAGATGTCAGCAAAGATTCGTAAGGATGGTGTTAACACCCTTCAGAATATCGGTAGAAAATTCTAAAGACAGTAAATTACATATGGTAATTAAATATGGATTGCATATAAATTACATATAAATTATATACGGATTGAAAATTCTTGTATGATGTTTTGTTTTGCATCTTCGAAGTTAAATGACTTGGAAAATCCTGCAAATTTACATAATAAGCGCGATTTTGTCTATCACCATCTGTGCTAAAACCTAAACGGTGTAAAAGCTTGATATACTGTATATTGGCGGTTTTTAATGATAATGCAAAGTTGGGATGATTGCTAAAGGTAGCCATTATTTATGAATTTCGTTTTTACCAAAATCAAATTCACAAAATATGTATATTTCGATTTCATCAAACACTATTTGTCTGTTTTGAGAAATTATCGCATCAATATACAGTGGTGGCCAAAATTGTGGACTTTTTTGGAAATTTTTATGTTTTTGAACTTTGTATGCTTATAGAAAATGTTACGTTTCGCAAAATGCAAACTTGTATATATCATTTTAAAGAGAATTTATTATGAATCAATACAAACACAAATTCAATTATTTTCAATACAAAAAAAGTTTATGTACTTTAAATAAATAAAACACGTTGTAGGGTTTATATTTATTTTAACTAACATTTATTTTAAGTTTAAGCTATCCTTCCTGTCAAGCCTTTACTTTCCCCTGGAATTGCCAATGCCAGAGTATGTAAATTTTTAGTAGAACGCGCAAGTATTCAAATTTTTAGCAGAAGTAATTTTGAGTTAAATAGAAGGGAAACGAGTTCGTAGGTGTGCTTTCTTGACTTCACGAGCGTGAAGGTTGCTAGGTAGAAATTTAAGAACCGCGCGTTTCGGCCTGTGTGCCTACTTCGGCAGTTAGTTGAATCTTTTCAACTTCTTATTCAGAAGTTTGCTGAAATCTCAGCTGTATCTTAGAACGCGGTTAAGTTAGTTACGTTTATAGAGCCTCGTAGTTAGTGACTTGTTATTTATTTCATCCTGTTTTATTTTTTCTAGTTTGTACTTTTCTATTTTTTATTTAACCGCCGGGTCGGCGTAGTTTGTGAGCGTCAAGTGCACGCATCTGTAACTTCTAAAGTTGAATAAAAAGGGAGTTTAAACCCTTCTTAAGAGTTTGTGTAATTTCCAGTTCATAGCAGTCACTACTACTGTTGCGTGCAAGTTGGGGCCGCGCAACACCACATTGGCCCGAACACTTTTTCGAACTGAAATGGCCGAAAATTGGATGGAAGCCGCTGGACAACAACAAGAAATGGCAAGCCAATTGGAAGGATTTGGATACCTGGTCCAGACGATGAGAGCGTCAATCAAGCCAAACGTCAATTTCGACGGAAAAAATTCGGTGGCGATATTTTTAGAAGGCCTAGAAAATCATTTCCAGCTCTACCCTGTGCCTGAAAGACAAAAAGTTGCCATCGCCACATCTGCACTAAGAGGACAGGCCTCGCTATGGTGGAAGAATATAGGCAAATTTTTATTAGGGGAATTCGGAGGCCAGACATATACCTTTGAAAATTTCAAAAATCGTTATTAAAGGCCTTCCCCATAGTGAAAGATCGAACAAGGCTAGAAGCCGAACTATATAGTTTTTATCAACGGAATATAGAAGATTGACGGACTTTATTCTGCGAAAAATTAAGCTGATAAACTATGCTGTATAACCCGACGCGGAGATTATTGAAATAATCTTACCAAGATTGTTACCTACCTGCTGTTCAAGACTACTTCGAAATTAGAAACCCAAGCACATTGCAGGAACTCTTCGAATTGGCGGTGAAGTTTCAAAATCGCAGAATAGCGGAAAAAGCTAGAGGGGCAATCGTATTCTCAAAGTACTCCGAAGGCAATCTTCAAATGAGCAGACCAGAAACGCAAATCGCTCTTATGGGGGAAAGAGCTATTAAGCTAACTCATCGAAGCTCGAAGGTCAAGGCCCAAAAAGAAAATTTGAAAACAACCGTCCGCGTACCCAGAAGGCAGAAGTTGAAAGGAAAGCTTTAAACGAGTAGAGGGGCCTGTGAAAGCGAGGGTCCAGACCCCGGAAGTTTTGAAAAACCCTCAAGAAGATACTTAAACACGGTCATCGTAAAAAACTCACAATTACCAATTATACAAGTCCTGGTTGGCGATGTACCAGTAGAAGACCTCATCGATACAGGAGCAGAAGGTAACTTTATGAGTGCTATTTTTTTTTAGAAGAATTTTAATAGGTTACGATTATTTAAAAATAAAAACACAAAAATCATAGCAGCGAAAGGACAAACTTGTCAATGTATTGGGAAATTATCATTAAAAATACAGGTAAAAGAGGAAAGCCTCAAAGTATTAATTTTTGTAGTAAAAAATTCCAAGTCTTATTTTAGGTATGGAGTTTTTAAAGGCCGCGAAGGCCAAACTGAATTTCAGGAAAGTTCAATTATGCTGGAGATGGATCGGAGGGTGGTGGAACCAGTGGAACAACCGCAAGTGGACCTTAGCCATTTGAAATGACCATGAAAGCCAAGCCATCCAGCAAGTGGTGAGTACTTTTTCAAAACTTGTTTTCAGAAACGGCCTGGTATCTGTCAAATTGTTACGCATGATATACAAGTTAACTGCCGAACAAACCCTGTAGGACTAAACCTTACCGGTATGATAAACAGAAAGAAGCAAATCATCGAAGAACACATTCAGGAAAATGTTAAAGAACCAATAATAACGCCCATAAATAGTGAGTACGCGAGTCCAGTCGTACTATGTAGGAAAAGAAGACGATTTCCCTCCTTCGGATAAAAGGGCTTGGAGGTTTGCTATCGATTACAGAAAAGCTTAATAGTATTACTAAATTCCCAGTTTACCCTTTGCCGGTTATAGAGAGGAAATTATTAGAAAGATTAAGTCTACGAGATACATGACTACGTTGGACTTAACGTCTGGCTACTATCAAATAGCTATGAGACCCGAAGACATACATAAAACCGCGTTTATAACAAAATCGGGCACTTATGCATTTTTACGCATGCCCTTTGGGTTGTGTGGGGCCCCGTCAACATTCCAGAGAGCTATGGACATTGTTCTAAAGCCTGTCCTAGGAAAATCGACTTTAATCTATCTAGATGATATAATTATAACGAGTAGTACGTTGGAACAACATATTAAAGATCTAGAAGAAGTTTTTAAATTATTAAAAGAGGCCGGTCTTACAATTAACGCCTCAAAATGCAAGTTCGCAACTAAAGAACTTAAATATCTGGGTTATAAAATTTCGCAAAAGGGTATAGAAACTCAAGATTCAAAAATAAAAGCCATCAAGAATTTCCCCACCTCCCAACACCGCCAAGAAACTTTCTTCTTTCCTTGGGTTATGTTCTTATTATCGGTCTTTCATAAAAGATTTTGCTAATATTGTTGAACCACTGTTAGTAATTAAAAGAAAAAAGTAAATTTACGTGGACAGCGAAGGAAAATACAGCATTTGAAAGATTAAAAGAAGCGCTCATCAATGCCCCTGTTTTGAAAATTCCCGGAAGGGGACGAAAACCTGGAAATTGCAGCAGATGCGTCAGACTATGCGGTGGGTGCGGTTCTATGCAAAATAACCATCCTTTGGCATTTTTTAGTAAAACTTTGAATCTACACAAAGGAATTATACAGCTACAGAAGAGAAACATTAGCCGTATTAATGGCTGTACACAAATTTCGAGTTTATTTCGGCAAAGCGCCAGTAACAGTCTTTTCGGATCATGCGGCTGTTGGTAGACTTTACTCGGGGAAAAACCTAACGCCCAGGTTAATAAGATGGGCTTTAAAACTTCAAGAAAATCATCTCACAATTAAATATAAACCGGGTAAGGAAAACAATGTAGCTGACGCACTTTCTCGTATAAAACTGGACGATGAAGGAAATGAACTTAAATGCGCTGTGTTGACTTCAAAAATTTTAGATTCTAGAGAAACAATTATTACTGAATTGAAAGCTGATCCTGAATTTGGAAGTATCTATGCTTATTGAAAGACCCCGAAAGCTTTGAGCACACAGATATCGATGCGATAAGAAATAGAGCAAAAACTATGAAATAATAGATAATTTATTATTTTATACGAAAACAACAAACGAAAATCTTCGAATATAACCAGTCATCCCAGCCTCGCTTCGATTAAGCATTTTGAAGGAATTACACGACGCGAAAAACAGCGGGTCATTCGGGGTCAGAAAGACTTTAAAAAGGGTACGCGAGGCGGTATATTTCCCGCAATTATACAAAATAGTAACGGCGTATGTCAGGTCCTGCAATCAATGTCAGTTAATAAATGATATTAATTACAGCCCGGCCGGGTACTTAAATAGCATTCGCGCTACATTTCCGAATGAAATTTTAGGCATAGATCTTCTTGGTCCCTTTCCCCCAGAGCGAGTTAAATAAAAATCGTTTTCTTTTAGTAATTGTAGATCATTTTTCAAAATGGACAGAAATTGTTCCACTTAAACGCGCGTCAGCCAAAACAGTCGCAGATGCATTCTTACACAGATACATTTTAAAATACGGTGCACCGATAAAAGTCATTAGCGATAACGGTAAACAATTCATTAGTCAAATATTTGAAAACATATGCACTGGACTTGGCATACGCCATATCAAAATGGTTCCGTATAGACCACAGGAAAACATAGCAGAAAGAGTTAATAAAAATATTGTAAAAATAATTCGAAGTTACGTTAGCACACACATCACAAGCGCTGGGATGGCTACATAAATGAAGTTAGCTTATGCTTTAAGAACACCGATACTACGGGAAAAACTCCAGCAGAATTATTTTAGGACGGAAAG